AGGAGGGACAGAGCTTTGGGAGCTGTGGGTGGGGTTTGGGAGAGTACAATTTCACTTGGGATTTGAAGGATGGCTAGGATTGTTTATACACATGTGGGAGAGGGCACTGAATTTGAGTGTGTATGCATGTGCACACGCATGGATGCACGCACAGATGCAGAACTGGGTAAAAATAATGGGTAGCATTTACTGAGTACTTTCAATGCACCAGATACTACATGATATTCTACATAATTCAACTTGAATGTGCAGAATCTTAGGAATTGGATGATAATTAATAAACCTTCAATTAGTAGATAGAAATTGAGGCACAGATAGGTTGAATAAATCACAGCGAATAAAAAAAGACATAAATTGAATTAGAATCCAGGTCCTAAAAACACTTGGCTACTCTATGAAAAAGAATTTGTGGCTCCGGTGATGAAGTTGGCCTGGCTACAGTCATTAAAGATGGTCAATTTGCAAACATGAGGAGTCTCTAGGCCAAATTCTTGACTGAAGTTAAGCGTGGAAATTGGAGGGATTAATGAAGCCATTTATTCTGTTGTTCTAATCTGTTAACCTAAAATAAAAAGCCAAATGAGAGGCAACAAGCATTTATTTGTGACTCAAAAGTATAGATATTCAGGAAGCACTGATTCAGGCAGAAACCCAAATAGCATTCTGAATAGAAGGTGAATGTGAGGGGCATTTATGAGAAAGGGAAGGGTAACAACTACAGGAATAGAATGAAAGCATTTCTGTCAGTGAAGGTAAGTTAACATAGTGATTTTAATTCCAAAGCCCTGTAATTTTCAGTGCCATATTGATAAATGTCTGCTTTCTTGTTATCTTTGCAAACAGTTGTTTGGAATACAGTGCTGCTTTAGACCCACTCAAAGGTTACTTTGCCCAGTTTTAACATTCCAAAAATTTGAAGAATAAGATGTGAAAGGAAGCTCCTCTGGGATGAAAGTTCCAACTCCTTTCTATTTTTTATTGTTTAAAGATTTTATTTATTTATTTTTAGAGGGAAAGGCAGGTAGACAGATAGGGAGAGAAACATCAATGTGTGGTTGTCTCTCACGTGCTCCCTACTGGCAACCTGGCCTGCAACCCAGGCAAGTGCCCTGACTGGGGATTGAACCAGTGACCCTTTGCTTCACAGGCCAGCACTCAATCCACTGAGCCACACCAGCCAGGACTATTTTTATTTTATTTAAATTTATTTTCAGAAAGAGGGGAGGGAGAAAGAAAGAGAGAAGCAGCAACACACATTCGCATGAGACACACATTCATCTGCTGCCTCTTGTAGGGCCCACCTGAGGATCTGGCTCACAACACAGATAGGTACCCTGACTGGGCATTTTTATTTTTTAAATATATTTTATTGACTATGTTATTACAGTTATCCCATTTTTCCCCCTTTGCTTCCTCCACCCAGCATGCCCATTCCTTCCAGCGATCTCTGCCCCCCTTAGTTCATGTCCATGGGTCATAAATTGTTTGGCTTCTCCATTTCCTATACTGTTCTTAACATCCCCTTCTCTATTTTGTACTTACTATTTATGCTTGTAAATCCCTGTACATTTTCCCCTATTCTCCCCCTACCCCTCCCTGCTGATAACCCTCCAAATAATCTCCATATCTATGATTTGATTGTGTTCTAGTTCTTATTGTTTGCTTAGTTTGGTTTTTTTAGATTCAGTTGTTGATACTTATGAATTTGTTGCCATTTTATAAGTTCATAGTTTTGATCTTCTTTTTCTTAAATAAGTCCCTGTAACTTTTCATATAAGGACTCAGTGACGATGAACTCCTTTAACTTGACCTTATCTGGGAAGCACTTTATCTGCCCTTCCACTCTAAATGATAGCTTTACTGGATAGAGGAATCTTGATCGTAGGTCCTTGCTTTTCATCACTTTGAAGACTTCTTGCCAGTACCTTCTAGGCTGAAAAGTTTCTTTTGAGAAATCAGCTGATAGTGTGATGGGAAATCCTTTGTAGGAAAATTTTCTGCTTTTATCTTGCTGCTTTTAGGAGTCTCTATGTTTAACCTTTGACATTTATTTATGATGTGTCTTAATGTGGTCCTCTTTGGGTCCAACTTGTTTGGGACTTTCTGTGCTTCCTGGACTTGTATGTTTATTTCCTTCACCAAATTAGGGAAGCTTTCTTCCATTATTTTTTTCAAATAAGTTTTCAATTTGTTGCCCCTCCTCTTCTCCTTCTGGCATTCCTATGATTCAGATGTTGGTACTTTTGGAGATGTTCCAGAGTCTTCTTATACTTTTCTCATTTTTTCGAATTCTTGTTTCTTTATTCCGTTCTGGTTTAATGTTTATTTATTTCTTATGTTCCAAATCATTCATTTGAATCTGGGCTTCCCTCCCTTCCCTGTTGGTTTCCTGTGGATTTTTCTTTATTACCCTTACTGTAACCTTCATTTCTTCCCTTATGCTTTTGCCATACTCAGTGCATTCTGTGAGCATTCTGATCACCACTCTGCATCTAATACGTTGGTTATCTGCATTTCGTTTAGTTCTTTTTCTGGGGTTTTGTTCTGTTCTTTCATTTGGGCCATATTTCTTTGTTTCCTCAATTTGGCAGTTTCCCTCGGTTTGTTTCTGTGTATTAGGTAGAAATGCTTTGATTCCCTGTCTTAGTGTACCTGTCAAGTTGTAAGGGGCAGAGCCTTAGGTATTTACCAGGGTAGGGCAACCCAGTTCACTGATTTGTGGTGCTTGCTATGTGGGAGAGATGGGTCAGAAAGGGGACTATGCTGTTGCCTGGCTTCTGGAGGCTTGCCTGGCATTCAGTCCGTCATTTCACCTACTTGCCTATGTGACTGGCACCCTTCCAGCTGTTGTCCTAGTGGTAATTCCCAGAGTGGGAGGGTTTGCATAAGTTTTAGGTTCCAGTGGGCCCTTTAAACAGACTCTTCTGAGTAACCAGCAGTTTCTGCTGCTACTCCAACCCTCAGTGGTTTTTATAGCCAGAAGTTATGAGGCTTTATCTTCCCAACTCTGGAACCCTGGACTGTGGCTGGGATTGCTTGCTCCCAAGGTATTCCTCCCAATTCTTATCCACCACATGTGAATATGGGAATACTCCATCTGCCATCACTGCCACCATCTCTTTGCACCACACTGCATCCTCTCTGCCCTGGCTCCATAACTCCATCCCTCCTGTCCATCTGGATGTATGTGGCTTCTTTTAATCCTTGGTTGTCAGATTTCTATACACTTCAATTTTCTGGCAGTTGTGGGTGTTTTTGTTTTGAGGTTAGTTGTGATTCCTGTTGTAGTTGCATGAGGATGTGAAACATATCTACTTATGACTCCCTTTTGACCCAAAGTCCTTCCGACTCCATTTTAAGGGGGCTCCATTTATATTGTTTTTCACACTACATTGTTACTTCCTTGAACATAGGAACTTGAGGTCTCCAGATGCTGTATGTCATTTCATGAAGGAGCTCTACAGCTTTATCCTTCATGTTCCTGGTTATGTTGCAGAGAATTTAACAGTCACCTAAAGAGAATGAGTGAGTAAGCCTCTGTCTGTATCAAGTCTAGGTCATAGTTATTCTTTATTAATTAGCAATTAAAGAGCATTGGGCCTGTAATACAGGCTGTACAGAAGCTTGGGATTAAACAAGGCTCTTGGCTCTGAGGCTGTAATTTGTTGTGAAAACAAGACTTGGAAAGGATGGGAGAACAATGGCTTGATAATACAGTAGATAGTATTTTATATTTTGACTCTGGCTTGCAGCCAACACCTGGAAGTGTTTCCTAGGCGAGGTGCCTAACTGTTTTTGTGAATATTGTCCTAACTCATTGTGAGTCTTCAATAAATATTAGAGGAACGTGAGATAGATTTTAAGGAAGTTTTTTTCTGTTTCTTTGTCCCAAGAAAAGCAAAGCACAGCCTGCGGGTAGAAAGCAGCAGGGAAGGGAGGAACCTATTTTAACCAGCTGTCTTTATGCAATTCTTGGGTAAGTCCATAAGCACACTGTCTGGGTTGGCCTTTCAGTGTTAGGACCCCTTGCCAACTGCAGGTTGGGAAGCAGCAGCTACCTTGCAAGAAGGAGAGTGAAAGAGGTCAGGGGAAGTTTGTTTTGGTCCAGTCAGTCTCTGATTGAAGGCATCGTAGGAGAAAGGGGAGAAAGAGGAGAAAGAGGGCTTGGAGACGAAGTGGCAGGGGTGGGCTGTGTAGACCAAGGTAAAGAGAGAAAAATACCCTATTCAAGCAGGAGGAAGAAGAGCAGGGAAAAGGACTAGAGGCCTCTATGTTAGGCCCTGAAGTATGAGGAGTGGGGATGTGGATAGCAAGGTGAGAGAAGGTGCCATCCTGGTCTTGCATGAGTGTAGTATTCCAGGGCAAAAAGGAGGAGTGTCAGGGAGCAGAAGGCCAGACCCAACCAACACCCGGAAGCAAAGCTGGGCCAGCTGCTCAGCAACAGACATCAGTGCCTCCCCCCCCCCAACCCTTCCCTGAGAACTCAGTCAGAGCCCGCTAAGTGCCTACAAGGTGTCCGGTGTAGAAAGAAGTGCCCTAGAGAATCGAGTCGCGGGATGTGAAGTCAGTCAAAAGGCTTCACCGAAGTGGCACCTTCAGCACACGCAGGGGAAGGAAGGTGGATGTGCCCTCGTGCAAGCTTCAAGAACGCAGAATTACGAGGCAGGCCAGGAAGAAGGGGCAGGAGGCGAAGGAGGCGGAGACTGAACTCGGAGGAAGGAGAGGGCAGGGAGAGCCGAAAACAGGCAAGGTGGGAGGTGTGACTGGGGGGCAGCAGTGGTGGGAGCGAGGTATCCCGAAGAGAGAAGGAGGCTAGGTGGGATAGTCCTGGCCTCCGTGCATGGGGGAGCAAGGGTTACTGGAACAGGAGGAGGCGGTGGGACCGAGGGGTTGGAGAGGAGGGGGAGGAGAGAGGGAGGGGAAGGAGGAGGAAGCGAGCGCGGTGGCTGCAGGGTGGGGAGGAAGACAGGAGGAGGAGCCTCGTGAGGAGGCGGCGGCGGCGGCAGTGGCCGCCCGGGCAACGCGCGCCGCGGTGCGGGGAGCGTGTGAGCGGAGAGGTGGCCCGAGTCCGGGTGGCGGGCCGAGCTACCGGTGAGTGGAACCCCAAGGGATGCGGCGGCGGTTCTGGAGCCGGGCGTGAGGTGTGGGAAGATGCAGCGCTGCGGAGGGAGGGGGCGGGCCCATAGCCCAGCCCTTTGCCGGCCCGGCCTTCCTCCTTTCCTCTCTCCCTCCCTCCCTTTCTCCCTGCTGGCTTCCTCCCGCCGCTGCCCGCGCTAAGGGGGCCGGTCTTGGACGCTGGACGCGCTGCGGGGTGGGGGAGGTGTTGTCCAGAGGGTGGGAGCCGGAGGCTGGTGGCTGGACCTGCACGGCTCTAAATTGGCCGGAGGGATACGACGGCGGCGAAGTTGCTAGCTGGGGGCAGAGGGGGGACTCGTTTGGAGGAGTAAGCGATTATCAGTGACGAGTGCGTGAGAGGAGGAGTCCGGCGTCCCAGCCATCCCCGCCGCCCGCCCGACTACCCAGCCCCGCTAGTTCCTTCCCGTGTGCCCTCCCTCTCATCCCGTTACCCCCCTGGTTCGCTCCGGCGGCACGGCTGGGTCTCCTCGGCCCTGAACCACTCGGCCTCCGGCTTCCCCTGACCCCTGCTTACTTCGCCACTGTCCCGGTTCCCTTTTTCTTCCTTCACTAGTTACCCTTCCCCGCTTCGTAATTCCGATGCAATTGCCTCTTTGAGACCTTTTTTTTTTTCTCCTCTCCTTTTAGATTGGCCAACGGCTCATTTCAACCCTGCCTCGTTGGTGGCCACTGGAGAAACGCGGGGGGCTCCCCAGACAGCCGTGGGGACAAGTTAGAGCCAGCATTTAACCCCAGGCCTCGAATGTAGCTTCCCTTTCCCTGCTTTCTGTGCCCTCGGTGCCCTGGTGTCTGAAGTGCAGTGCGGGTGTGGGGGTGTGCCCTCTGTACAGGTCCCACCACCCGAGCAACTCTGAGCTTGTGTTCCATCTCACTCTTGTTTTCTGCACGGTGGTTGAGGGGAACCGCTTCCTATCATGTCCCGGTATACCTACCAAAGTCTTCTGGACTGGCTCTATGGGGGCGTGGACCCCAGCTTTGCAGGCAATGGGGGCCCCGACTGTGCTGCCTTCCTCTCTTGGCAGCAGCGGCTGCTGGAAAGTGTGGTGGTCCTGACCGTGGCTCTGTTGGAGATCCTGGTGGCCCTGCGGCACATCCTGAGGCAGACGAAGGAGGACGGTAGGGATGGCCATGGCTGCCAGCCAGAGCAGGTGACCCAGCGGCCAGAGGAAGGCAAGGAGACGCTGAGCAAGAATCTGCTCTTAGTAGCCCTGTGCCTGACCTTCGGGGTGGAGGTGGGCTTTAAGTTCGCCACCAAGACCGTCATCTACCTGCTCAACCCCTGTCACCTGGTCACCATGATGCATGTGAGTTTGTTGGAATTTTTCCTGGACAGCCTTAGTGATAAGTTACTTCTGTATTCAAGATACTCAGCAGTGTAGAGCACCTCATCCTTGTGGAAAGGGGGACTCTTAAAACTGATTTTCCGAAGATCTGCTGTTTTTGTACATATCTCAGATTTTGCTTTCTTTCACCTCTGAACAATGCATTAGTCTCACACTGGAGAGGAGGAACATAGTGCCAGAGCCAACTTGTACTCAGGCTGGCTGCCTGTCCCCTCCCAGCCCTGCTGGGGCTTTTCACAATCAGGAAGTCCAACCCTAGTCAGGTGCCCCTTCTCAATCACATCTGGAGAGCATGGCCCAGCCCCCCTGTCTTCTGTCACAGTTAATTCCCAGATACCTGGTGACATTTCTTTCCTGGAGATGATCAAATAACATTCCTTGTGTCCATGACAGTACTTTGGAGAAATACTTGTGCAGGTTTCCCTTAATTATTCTTTAGTTTTGGAGTTTAGGCTATCAGGGTGAAGTCTGCCTTTGAATTCTGAGGGTTGGAAGAGCACAAAGCTCTAAGTGCACTCTGAAACAGGCCCCAGGCTGACTTCTGAACTTTGGGTTGGTGGTTTCTATCTATGATGAGAGGGTATTTATTATTATTATTGCAAACCTTTCTATCTTATCACTCTTATTCTGTCTCCCGTGGTCATGGTCCAGGAGCACTCAGAGAGCTGATTTCTTTACCTTCCAATACCTATGCTAAGAAAAACAACTGGGATTCAAAAGGAAAGTGCCAGATACATAAAAATAATCTGGTTGAGGACCAAGAGTGAGACTGTCTTTCTGTAACTCTGTGAAGAGATGTTCTAAAACTATAAAATCCTGAAAAAGGAAAATGAAAAAGGGCAACAAACCTTTTTTAAAATTTCACGTGATGGAAAACATGGTGTCTTTTATTCAGGGATAGTTTTGAAACCTGTCATTAGAATCTTTATTACTTTTATATTTGTAGGTTGTTCTCAGGAGACTTGTGACAGCCCTGTGTGGGGCAGCACATTAAGATTATTGTCTCCATTTTGCAGGCCTGCTGGGGGCCTGGGGGTAGCGAAGTCAATTGTCTGTGGCTAAAAGATGAATTATCTGGGTAGGAAAGGTAACCTACCCTCTTTGGACTTGCAAGTTGTCAGTGGAATGGGAGAGCAGCCTCTGTGTGGAGGCTGAGGCTGAGGCTGATTAGAATGGCAATGACTATGTGTGGCCTGCCTGCTTGCTACCTCTGTGTTATAGGAGCTCCTTTGACTGCAGGTTCCTGGCGTCAGTTTCCCAATCTGTAAAAGGTGGTAAATGGCATCAAGCCCTTCCCATTTTGTAGATGTGCCAAGAGATGCAGATAGCTTTGGAATAAGAGGCTGCTATTTATTTGGTGGCTCTCATCATCAAGAAGGGTTGGAAGGGGCAGGATTTTTTTTTTTTTAAAGAGAGGGCTTCTTGGGAAGTGATGCCATTCACAGGAAGGAAACCCAGGGTTCTCCCAGCTAGACCTTGTGTGTTAAATTTGAGCCAGTTCTCTTTCTTCTTTTTTTAATGAATGCCCTTTTTGTTAATGAGAGGAAACAACGCATCTCAGCTGCTGCTGCATGAGGCTTTTGGGACAGGAGTGCTTTTTTTGGATGGCAGGTGGTCAGAGTCAGAGGGTGCCTCTTCCACAAAGGGGTCTTGAGGCCTCTGGCAGCCACATATCTAGAAGGTCAACAAAGGATTAAATTCAGCCGAACGGAGGCTCCTGCTGCTGTAATGACGTCAAACCTGGCAGCACCATGGTTTTTAATGGAAATGTTTTGAGAGGTTTTTACAAGTCTCTGGAGACTTAGTTCTGGCATTAATAAGTTGTGTGACTTTGGGGAAAATACCTGTTCCTGGACCTCAGTTTGCCTATCTGCAAAATGAATCAGAGTTTCACTTCTAGCTCTTGTTAGCCCATGTTCTGCAAGTCTTTTCTTCTTTAAGCAGTGGCTGGGGATGCAACAGATAACTATTCTAGAAATGATTTTGGTCTTTTCAGGTGGAAAAAGGAAACTCGTTTATTCTCTGCTGAGGTCAGGTACACTTGTTCATCTTGCATCCTTATTCATCTTTTGCTGCTACTTCTGTTTCCCCAGAGAGGTTAACCTGACCAGGTTACCCTTGGGGGTATGTGTGGATGATTATGGTACTCAAAGCTGTTTGCTGCAGAGAGATAGATGTTTAGGGGGCTATGGACTGATTTCTGTCACCTGTGTATTTTCTGTTGTCCTGTGCTTAGTTCAAGCTCTGAACAGAGTTATGCTGAGGAATCCTTGAGCTCACTCAGGATTAGACTCCTCTACTCTTTACTTCTAAGTCCCTGTTTTGTATCATTTAAATAGTAATCTCTAGCCTATTGGAGGACTTAGTCTTTGATGACTCCAGTGTTCCATACCCTACCAATGGCTCTTCCTGGGAAGCATAAATGTGTGAATTTTAAAAAGTTGGTGTGAGTCCTTAAAAATTCACAACAGATGGTGGGAAATAGTTTTCTCACTTGGTTGCAGCAATGAGTAATGATAGTAAGTATGGTTAATATTACCTTACATTTATTTAGTACTTTACTGTTTATTTTAAGGTATTTTAGCATACATTTTCTTATTAAGGTTAAGAAAAGGTTCTTAGAAAGGCTTGAGCCTGTACAAAGAGATGTTAAAATGTTTCCTGTGACTATGTATATTCCAAAGGGGAGATACTAAGTATCAAGAAATGCTTTGGCAAGTTAGTTAGCTGAATTAATTAGGCTACATTATGCCAGTAAATTTGATGGAGATCACAGGTCCTGATAAGGGAAGGGAGACATTAGCTGAAATAAAAGGGAAAGCTTAGCAGAAACATTTCTCATGTTTGTCTCCCAACAGGATGACTCAATTTTGGCTTTATAGAAAGGTCTTGTTCCTCAGAGTCAGTGTAGGTTTGTCTATAACAGGGATGGTATTGCTTTAGGCCGGGAAATATATGTGTTGGAGGGAAGTTGGTTAATATCCCCATCTCCCATTTTACAGTCTGTAAAACATTTAATTCTCAAAACCTTGTCACACAGACCCTCCCCTTACCCACGTTGCCAGCTTTAGAAGCGTTACGAAGGACAGTTTTTGTGCCCATGTTCTGTTCTTGACTAATATTCCTAGTGTCAGGTTTCTTTTTGGTCTCATTTGATTTCTCAAAGCCCTGTGACTGTAGACTGATATAGGTTTGTATGATGAAGCAGCATCACCTCACATCTAAATTCAAGCTGGATCCTCAAGCAGGATCAGTAAGCAGCAACATTGTTAAACTCCTTGCTGAATATCAGTAGCATTTACCAATTACACCAGTAAGTATTTCTTCAAGCATGAGTAGTCCTCTTATGCACATTAGTTTGGCAGGTGTGGGTGACAGGAAATGAATTTACTGAGTGGTCATGCTGTTTACCAAAAATTACTCAACCAAGTTAGTGGCAGAGGTGGCTTAAGAACTGAGCTGCTGCGGTGGAAATTGGGGCTTTAGCAGAAAGAGATTCTTTTAGGGATTTAAGCCCTAAAATCTACAACTTCTCAGTAGAAGGGTTAAAATGTCAGACAGTTTGACTGATTGTATCTGTAAAGACTAGTGGTCTTCGTGGCCCTTTATCTCTCTTATGTATATACGGTTATTTTGTCTCTGCCTTAGAAACTTAACAAAAAAAAATCCCATTTTGATTGTGTCATCTAATTGTCCAATTCCTGCTGTTTCTGTATGTGTTTGTGTCAACATCTCCTGAGGGGGCAGTGAACTTAGTGAGGCACAGTACATGCATTTAACCCTCAAGGTTGTATGTACAGAAGTCAGGCTGAGTTAGGCCAGCCATTTGGCAAATAATAATTGATGCTGTCATTTGCATACCCCCAAGCCACTGGTTTTTAGCCAGTAATACTGAGTGAGCTCCATTCTTTTTTAGAGTTGTCATTTGCTATTTGATTTTCTGTCCTCTTTATAATATATTAGAAATCTGACTTCCACAAATATGATTTACCTGCTTTTGGTTCATCATTTGATTTCCTTACTTCTTCCCTCCTTGCTGAAAATATAGAATGGCACATAATCAAAACAGTCCTGATCTTTTTGTGACACCTTTTGGAAGTAGTTGAAAATACACCAGTGTGCTCCATTTGCTTTGTGATGGATTTGTTTTACAGAAAACCTCATGGATTTGAGAACAAGTATTTTTTGTGTGTGTCCACCCCTTCTTCTTGACTTCATACCAGCCATACCTCCTCATCCCCATCTGTTGTCTGGAGCATGGATAACAGCTTCTGCTTGGAATTTACATTGGTGGGTAATGGGTACAATGAGGTATCCAGCCATCTGCTGACAGCTTATCAAATGGACTGTGTCCTGTGTCATCAGTCTAGGGGGACACAAAGGGATGATGTTTATATGGGCCTCAGCAGTGAGGCTTGACATTCTTTTTTAGTTTCTTTTATTTTTCTGACATGGAAATTTGCAGAGAATTTTTACATCTTTCATTGTTATGGTCTTTTGGGGGCATCCTTAAGAGAAATGTTGTGAATTGGTAGATTAAACAGCCCACAGACAGCCCTGGGATTTAAAATTACTATGCTAGTTGAACTCATTGCCTGCTAGGGAACCTGGGCAAATTATTTAACCTTTTCCTATCCCCATCTTCTCTGAAAGGAACCCGGAGCAAACTAAGCATTTTAATCCCCTGAATAACTATGTGGTCACTTAAACAGAGAAACTGGACAAAGCTGATCAAAGCTGACAGATGACTAATATGTTTTGACCTCAGACTCAGAAACTAACAAACCTCAATTCCTTTTCAGTTTTCTTTTTTTTTTTTTTTAAGATTTTATTTAGTTTTAGGAGAGGGGAGGGGAGGAAGAAGGAGAGGGAGAGAAACATTGATTGTGAGAGAAACATGAATCAGTTACCTCTCACATGCCCCCAACTAGAAACCTGGCCTACAACCCAGGCTGTGCCCT